TTAAGAAGGTCAACCCTTCTCGTGGGTCCCAACTGGTTTTTTTAAGAATGTCAAACCTTCTCGGGAGCCCCAACCGTGTTTTTTTAAGAAGGTGAAACCTTCTCGGGGGTCCCAACTGGTTTTTTAAGAATGTCAAACCTTCTCGGGAGCCCAAACCGTGTTTTTTTAAAAAGGTGAAACCTTCTAGAGGGTCCCAACTGTCTTTTTTTTTTAAAGATGACACCTTCTCCGGAGCCCAATTGTTTTTTTTTTAAGAAGATGAAACCTTCTCAGGGGCCCCAGCTGTCTTTTTCTGAGAAGGTCAACTCTTCTCGGGGGTCCCAACTGCTTTTTTAAAAATGTGAAACCTTTTCGGGAGCCCAATCTGTCTTTTTTTAAGAAAGTGAAATATTCTCGGGCACCTCAACTGTCTTTTTTTTAGGAAAGAAAAATGTGAAACCGGTGCGTGGTGAAATCTCCTCGGGGACACCGACTGTCTTTTTTTTAAGAATGCGAAACCTTTTCAGGGATCTCAAGTTCTTTTTTTAAAGAAGGTGAAACTTTCTCTGGAGCCCAACTGTTTTTTTAAGAAGGTGAAACCTTCTCGAGGGTCCCAACTGTCTTTTTTTTAAGAAGCTGAAATCTTCTCGGGGGCCCCAATTGTCTTTTTTAAGAAGGTCAACCCTTCTCGGGGGTCCCAACTCGTTTTTTTAATAATCTCAAACCTTCTAGGGACCCCCACCGTGTTTTTTTAAGAAGGCGAAACTCTCTCGCGGGTCCCAACTGTATTTTTTTTTAAGAAAATGACACCTTTTCTGGAGCCCAACTGTTTTTCTAAAAAGGTGAAACCTTGTAGAGGGTCCCAACAAACTGTCGTTTTTAAGAAGGTGAAATCTTCTCGGGGCCCCAACTGTTTTTTTTTAAGAAGGGCAGCAATTCTCGGGGTCCCATCTGTTTTTTTTAAGAATGTGAAACTTTCTCGGAAGCCATAACCGTATTTTTTTAAGAATGTGAAATTTTCTCGGGGGTCCCAACTGTTTGTTTAAGAAGGAGAAACCTTCTAGGGGATCCCAACTATTTTTTTAAGAAGGTGAAACCTTCTCGAGAGCCCCAACTGTCTTTTTTAAGAATGGGGCCTAACTGTTGAAGGTAAGCGAAGAAAAATGTTGCTGCCTCGGTGGGAATCGAACCACACGCTCCCCGCTTGCCGGGCAGGTATCCTGACCACTAAACCACGAGGCCGCTTATCTTTCTCCGCTTAACAATGTGTTATTGTGCCTCCATAGTATCCCCAAAAAAATGGAAGTGGTTCTATTAAGGAATGAAGAGCATCTGGGCAGACAGAATTTTGTCAAAATGGACTGCTCGGTGGAAAAACGGGAATATAGGTCAATTTACTAGAAGTAACAGAAAAATGCATTTATGGTACTGTCATAAGCAAGAAAACGTTGAGTGTACATTGTTTATGAGTGAAAAATATCGTCTAAAAAATGTTGAGATCACAAGACGACTGGAACGAAACAGTAAAATATATTGAAAGGATAACGAAGCAAAAAAAAAAAAAACAGAAAGATTGCGGGAATAAAGGAAAGAAGGAATTAAAAAAAAATGGAATCTACAACTTCCACTTCCTCATTGAAGAAATGCCTAGTTAGAATTCCAGTGAGGCTGATAAAGACATCGACCAGAGAGGGTATCTTTTTTGAAGATTTGCTCTCCTCTAAAAAAAAGTGGTCAGGAAGTTGGGTAAGGTCAAGCCAAGTCTGACCTGTTTAGGTCAAATCAGCTCAAAGCAAGTTAGGTCAAGTCAGATTAGTTCTGGTCAAATCAGCTCAAAGCAAGTTAGGTCAAGTCAGATTAGTTCTGGTCAGGTATGGCTAGATCATGATAGGTCAAGTCAGGTCAGGTCCTTGAAGTAGTGTGCGAGCAGTTCCGAGGAGAATGATGAAGAGGTGGAGGAATTTTTAATTGGTGGTCGATCTCCGACTATCCTGGGGTGGAAATCTAATACTACTTGGAACAACTTCCTAGGTGCCTATGAAGGGTTTCCCCTCCGCGAGAAAAAAAAAGTCTGGTCAGGTCAGGCGCCAGGCTTTCTGAGATTTTTATAATGGCGTACGAAAGACTACAATTCTTTCAAAAACAGGTAAGATTTTACGAGACATATTTTCTTCACTCGTAACCATTTTCAGTTTAGTTATGGAAAAGCACTAAAGCCGACTATTTGTCAATATCTTTTATCACATATAATATATATTACTTACATTATTCAAACGAAATTACGTCTAGTACGTCAGTCGTTGTAAAATTTTTCTTAAAATATGAATATAAAGTATTATTACTAGATACCAATAAGTGCAATAATACATTGTTGCATGACAAAAGAAGTCCCAGTGGAGGGTATTTTAAGGTTCAAGTTATAACACAATGCTTATAATTTTAAAGACATTTAAATATAATTTATTTGATGTTGTTGGACCCTACGTCTTCCATTCACCAGGTGGGTATTCTGACCACTATCCAACGTCGTGATTATCTCTCCTCACTTTCCACGTTATATTTTTCCACCACAAAATGTGTTTCAGATTTTAAAGTAAATTTTGTGTTACCGTTTAAAGCGTTCTAAGTCATTTGGAGCTTCTTCGGCGCAATACAAAAGTCCCGTTTTAATTTTTTCATTGAGCATAACATTATTAGTAAAAAAAATTGGCCGCGTGAATTATGTGTTTCTATTCAAAACAATGTTGCCGTTACAGTATCACTCAAATAAACAAATACTTAGAGAAGAATACAATACTAAAATGTCGCAGTAAACACAAAGGCGTTCGGGCGAGTCCACTTGCAACTGTAGGAACTGATGTTCGTCATTTTGTCTTGTGATTCATTGGTGTTTTAAATTAACGCTGTTTGGTTTTATCTTTTCGTGATTTACAAGTGTTTTTCGTACGTTATTCAGATTAATTAATCTATAATAGATATATGAAAACTAATTGAAAAAGTCATCAAGCTGGCTTTAATTTTTGTAAAAAATTGTAACTAAAATTTAATCGATAACAACGCGAAAATGTCAATTATACACAACAGTATAATTTTACACTTTAGAACGTAAACGATACGCCACTCGTAAAAGACGTCAGATTCTGATGACACGTTCTTCTCACAATATTTCCACTCTAAACACTTCATTGTGTATCTATAAGCTCAGTTTCAAAAAATCGATGAAAATACCGCATCCTTCTGCATTGTGTTCACAGCTAATGCAAGTATTAAACTGATAATAAATATTGCTGCAGAGGGAAAGATTATCTTCGCTTGAGACATTTGATACCCTAAGTGGTAGATGCAGTCTGGAAATTTTCAACGTTGTAATCTTGATCCTAGAATTTTTGCGTAAGTTTTCGATAAATTCAAATCTCGAACAAGTCATTTAGTCCAATTTGAGTTACATCTTTTTCAGGTGCTAAAAATTCCTGCTCTTCAAACGAAAAATATTCCATATGCTATTTTATGAGTCCAAGATTTGTTAGAATTTTTAACACCACGCCTTTTCTGCTGAAGACGTAATAATACTTTGTTTAAATTTCAGAAAGATTAAAACTTTGTAAACAACAAAAATTGTTCGGAGTGTTTACACTCTTGCGGGACTTTGTGGATAAACAAACCACTATCATTATCACAAACTGACTCAGTTTAATTTAAATTAGCCTTTTGAACCTTCTTGTATCAATACATTATCGCAAATTTACAAGTAATTGGTTTAAGAGTTTAAAAGCAAAGAGAGGGTTGTGACGCTGGAAATACTGGTTTATAGCTGTCGCACAAGTCAGGCACAATACGATTTCTTTCATTATCTTACTATGTTTGGAAATCACCCTGGAAAAGTACAAAAGAAAAAAATAAGAAAAAAAACTGTTATTGATCTGTTGTTGTTTTCTATGCTGGACCTACTCACTAACTACACTACACTGAAAAATTACAAATTCTCCTCAACAGATACTTTCCTTTGTATAAAACGTTCGAATTTTGCTTTGTTACAATTTCAAAACAAAAATAAATTGCGCGATTTCTTTATTACGTCGCGAACTTTAGGACGATTCCCTAAGGCTTCCAGAAAGAGAATCAACTGTTCTTTCAAAGCGCTGGCGAAGTTATAAAAAATCCACACTCTCGTCTTTTTAAATGTGAATAATTTAGCGCTTTCCAGGATCTTCCATCTTTATTTTTTGCAAACAATTTAAAGTGCTTGATACGTTTAGAAAAGGATTCGCCATTTCGTTGCAATACCTCTTTGATTAAGCTTTCAGGAAATGCAAAAAGGACTAAAGATTACTAATCCGCTTTTTTCGCTCTTCCCTATATTCATCAAGCGATAATGGGGTGAATAGATAACTGATTTAGTATAATGTACATTCACATAAAGCTTTTTTTGACTCATCATCAATTCAATATGTTTTTTTTTTGCATCTAATGTGAAAATAATTGTCACTATTATTATATCGGGTATCATAAAAACACGTTTTGCAAGCAATAACCCACTTGTCATTCAAGGTCCGGCATGCAGCAAAAATTATGACTTAGGGAATATGATTGATTACATTGGTCAAAACAATTAATTTTTTGTTTTACATGTAAACATCAGTACATAAAGTATTCAATAAATAAAATAAAAAACTTTAGGAGAGTCTAATTGACAGGTGAGAGACATTTGCATAAAATCTTAAATTATTAATGAAACCGAAGCGTAATACCTGAGTTTACTGTACAGATAAAAATCAATGAATTCCGCCTATGTTTTATTTACTTCTTTATTTTTAGTTCATTAGCTTGATGAGAAGAAGTATGCATATTTTATATCGATCGTGCCTTCCAAACAAATTTATTACCACATAACCACGTTTTATTTTTTAGTAAAATCGACGCGTTTCGTCAAGTATATTGGCATCTTCTCGAACAACAAAAAAACACCTATTTTACTAAAAAATATTTATTGAAGATGATACAAAATTCATGTACCTGTTTATCCTCACACAAAAATAAACCCCTGCCTATATATCATCAAATTTGTACATTCACATTTGTAACAATGAACAACTAGAACCGCCTCAAAACAGACGTTTATAGAAACCTAAAGGGCTCCGCCCGTGATTGTGTCTACACGAAAAGTCAAAACCTGATAGGAATATCACCACAACTAAACCTAGTCGTTTTTCTTGTCCGCAACCAGAAGCTCCGCTTCCTCCGATTCCGACGCTTCTTCGTTCGCCCGTTTTTCCTCTCCCTCGGGATTGGCCTCCTTGTCCTTCTGCTCCTCGGTCTGCAGATATTTCGGCAACCAAAAACAAGCACAAACAAGTTTAATCAACACCCAGGCCGCACAAGCCAAACCTAGGTACGAACAAGACGAAAACACCATTTTCCAAACATCCACACCTACTTTTTGATTCCGCATTTTGAATAAATTGTGAAAACGTGGAACGAAATTGTGGCTGTGACCAAAAAATGCACATCCTAACAACAGACAGTTCCTGAATCACAACAAAAATAAAATCGATATGTATTGAAGCAATTGCTCGCTGTGCATAACACCGTGTTGAAGGTAAAACGAGCATGAATTATTTAAAGAGCCGATAGTGCATCTGTGCGAACATGAATTTTTTAAAGTAGAAACCTGATTTATACGTTAGGTGGGCTTGATTTTTTTGTAGTGGCATGCACCTGCACTACTTAACTTAAGTAGGCAATTGTGGCTTATTTTTATTCAAACACAATAAAAACTGGTGAGTGTTGACAAAACGACATTTACCGTTTCTTCTTTGTCTTTCTTGAGCAGTTCTTCCATTAGATCTTCTAAGTTCTCGCCGTAGCCGATGCTGTTTTCTCGCTGCCTTTTCTCGATTTCTTCCTGCATCCGTTTCAGGCCGTCTTCGATCACGTGGAGGTTGTTCTTGAGCTGTCTTCGGCCTGTCATGAAGCGGCTTAAAAACCACAAGCACACGAATAAGCAAAACGATAGCCAGATGCTTATTCCGATTTTGAATTTGTCGCTGGTACCCGTTTCACTGGTTTCACTCATTTTCTTGGCACAAAAAATTGTTAATTGTACTGGATTCACTTCCAGTACAATTCAGAATGAAAGGAATAATTGACGATATCGACATAGATCCGAGGAGGAGGTACACGTGGAGAGGAATGAATATCAATACTGTTCTAAAATTTATTGTGGGAAAATAATACACCATTGGTTGGGGAAAAATGGGAGGAAATTATAGTCCTCGTTATTAACCCTAATAGGAAAGTTGTTGTGCGGGCAAGACGATGCCTCGTTAATTACGTTACGGGAAAACAAAGTGATTAGAATAGATTATTCAGGCTTTTTTCTGTGCGTATATCCCAAATGAGTCAGGGCAAAAAAAGATCTTTTATTAGTGTGTAAAATAAAAATAATTTATTCACGAGTATTTTTTACAGCCTCGTCTTTAGAGTAGCTTTGTAGCAAAGCTTGTTTTATATTTAAAAATATGAATATTTTACAACAAATAAATAAATACTGTTTTATAATACAATAAGTGGACATTGTAACTTAACAATATATATAGCACATTTACAAACATTAAGATTGAAGAATATGCAGTATATCAATAAAAATCACAAAATTATGGTATGTTTTGCAAACAATCACGTATTTGAATCCATGTCTGAAGACCCTGAAAGCAACAACTTCTTTAGATTAAAAAATATATGTCATAAATAGATACCTTTTTGGCAGTTTTCAGTTGGAGGAATGCATAGCTCGTTAAGGTTTCCCGCAAGTCATATACTTTTTGGTTCTGGAATCTTTCAATGTCTGTTAAGGCCTTTGTAGAAAATTCGCTGCAACAAAATTACAAGTTAATGAACTGTTTTAACATTTATCACGATATTTACACAAATAATAAAAATTAAAAAACAGAAAGTTTTTAAATTATGTTACACACTGTTAACATTATTTTTTCATTAAGAGAATTACAACATTTTTTAAGACTTATTTTCTATCCGTGGAAAAGTGTGAGTATCTGATGAACTAATTTTTCGATTTGACAGTTGTAATATTCGAGAAAACTGTCAAATTTGTACTCAAGTTGACGCGGGAATTATTAAAAAAAATGTTACCAATCTTTTGAACAAATTAACGCTGTACCAACCGATAAAACTGACACTATACACTCAAAAACTGCCCTTTTGAGTATCGGCTTTAATGAAGATATTCAACTTGATATTTTTCAATTCCTGGTAATGATCAAGTCTTGCGTGCTTTAAATTTATAATCTGAGTTATTAAGGCTCTATTCGCTTTCAGTTGCTTGCCTTACAAATATGTAATTTCGTAAAAAATATGTGTAATTAAGGAAAAGTTACCAACTCCAGACATTAAAATTCCATACTAAAGTACTTATAACAAGTTTTATTTTTATTTTTGAAGAATTTAATTGCGCAATTGCACGCACATTACGCAGACCGCCATAGTGCATCCAACACGAATGAAATTTATAACACAGTTTAAAAAAAATATGGTACAAAATGATGTGTTTATAGGTGATTTTTATTATTTTTAATTTTTTAAGTTGGCAATAGAGTTAACTAGTCGCTACTATTGATGAACCTGATTCAAATTTAGGCAATTTTAAACACATGAAAATGAAGTTGCCAATTTTGACATTAGGGCGCTAATAAACGTGATGAGAAGATGACAACTACTGACCTAGTGCCTAAAATTTCCATTTGATAATCAGGTGTGTCATCATAAAGTTTTAAATGTGTTGTTAACCTAACAAAAAAAATCATAAGCGATATTAAGGTGATTAATTTTGGTGGACACTATTTTGTTTTTTTTTTAATGTCAAAAAATTCTAGATTTTTCGTTTATCTCATTTTTTTGTTTGCTGCATTTCATTTACTCATTTGATTGAAGTTTTAAATTTTTAAACAATTTTGATGGTTTAACCGAAAAATCGAAAAGTCGAAAAATCGAAAAATCGAGAAATTGAAAAACTGATAAGCTGAAACATCCAGAAATGAAACATCAAAAGATTGAGAAAACAAAAAAGTTGAGAAGTCGAAAAATCGAAAAAAAAAAAAAAAATTAAAAATCGAAAGACTGAAAAACCGAAAAACCTAAAATCTAGAAGTCGAAAAATAAAAAGATCGAGAAATCGAAATGTTAAAAAACTGAATTTAAAAATTGGAAAAACTGCAAGATAGAAATATTGATGAACTGGAAAATCGAAAAATCGGAAAATCTAAAATTTTAAAAAGTAAAAAATCGAGAAATCGAAAAATTGAGGAATCAAAATGTTCAAAAATCCCAAGACTGAAATATCAAAAAATTGAAAAATCGAAAATTTTAAAAATATGTAGAGAAATCGAAGTCGAAAAATCGAAAAAATGAAAAATCAAAAAACTGAAAAATCGAAAAATTGAAGAAATGAAAAACTGAAAAATCGAAAATTCTGAATACCAAAAAATCGATTAATCGAGAAGTTAAAACATTGATAAATTGAAAAATTTAAGACTAAAAAAAATCGATAAATCGAGAAATTGAATAATCGAAAAATTAAAAATTTTAAAAATCGAAAAGTAGAAAAACCGAGAAGTCGAAAAATAAAAAGATAGAGAAATTGAAACCTCAAAAAAGTGAAAAATCCAGAAATCGAAAAATCTAAAATTTTAAAAATTGGAAAATTAAAGAATCGAAAAATTGAATCATCTAAAAGTCAAACAAGTAAAAAATCGAGAAATCTAAAAATTGAGGTACCAAAATATTCAAAAATACCAAAACTGAAATATCGAAGAAATGAAAAATTGAAGAAAATATGAAGAATCGAAAATTTGACAAATCGAGAAATCGAAGTCGAAAAATCCAAGTTGAAAATCGAAAAACTGATAAATCGAGAAGTTAAGAAATAGAAAAGTCGGAATACCAAAAAATCGATTAATCGAGAAATCGAAATAGCCCAAACTGGAAAAATCGAAAAGTTAAAAATTGATGAGTTAAAAAATTTAAGACTAAAAAACGATAAATCGAAAAATAGAAATATCGAAGAACTGAAAAACCGAGAAATTGAAAAATCTAAATTTTAAAAATGGAAAAATTAAAATTTCGAAAAATTAGAGAACCGAAAAATTGAAACATCTAAAATTTAAAAAAGTAGAAAATCGTGAAATCGAAAAATTGAGAAATGAAAAAAAAAAATTGAAAAATCTAAGAAAAATTGAAAAACCGAAAATTTGCAAAATCCAGAAATCGAAGTTGAAAAATCAAGAACCTGAAAAATTGAAAAACTGCAAATCAAGCAATCGAGAAATCGAAAAGTTAGAACATCAAAAAACTGATTAATTGAAGAATTTAAAATTTAGAAACAGAAACGTCAAAAATTGAAATACTGAAAAATCGTAAAAACTGAAACATCGGAAAATTGAGAGCTCGAAAAATCAACAAAAAACGAGAAATCGAAAATTTGAAGAATCGAAAATTGTAGAAAGTAGATAAAAGTAAAATCCCATCTGAAATATAGAAAAATATTGAAAAATTGAGAAATCGAAAATTTGTTGTATACATCCAGAATTTTGAATTTTTTCCCAAAAATCTCGTTTAATGCAAATCTGAACAAACGGGCAGACAAAAAGGAGATCTACTTTTTCGTACTCTAGAGGTGATAAAAAATCAAAAAATAGAAATATCGAGAAATCGAAACGCTAAAAAAACTGAAAAATCTAAAATTTAAAAATTGGAAGAACTGAAAAATAGAAATGAAGAACTGAAAAATCGAGAAGTCGAAAAATCTAAAATTTTAAAAATTGAAAAACCAAAATATTGAAAAATTAAAGAATCGAAAAATTGAAAAATCTAAAAATTAAAACGTCTAGAAATTGAAACATTCAAAATTTAAAGAAGTAAAAAATCCAGGAGTCCAAAAATTGAGGAATCAAGATGTTAAAAAATCCCAAAACTGAAATATGGAAAAATTGAAAAATCGAAAAAATGAAAAATCAAAAACCTGAAAAATTGAAAAACTGAAGAATTGGGTAGTCTAGAAATCGAAAAGTCAGAATACCAAAAAATTGATTAGTCGAAAAATCGAAAATTTAGAAACAGAAACGTAAAAAATTGAAAACCTGAAAAATAGAAAAATTCAAGATTTGAAAAACTGAAAAATCTAGAAGTCGATAAATCGGAAAGTCAGAATACCAAAAAAATTGAAAACCTAAAAAATTAAAAATTTTAAGAATTGAAAAACCGAGAAGTCAAAAAAAGATCGAGAATCGAAAAAATGAAAACTTAAAAACCTGAAATCGAAAAATTGAGGAATCAAAATATTCAAAAACTCAAAACTGTGATGACGAAAAATTGAAAAATCGATGAGAAACCTAAAAAATCGGAAAATTAAAGAATTGAAAACGTGAAAAATCGTGAAGTCGAGAATTCGAAAAGTAGGAATACCAAAAAATCGATACATCGAGAAATAATCCAAAATAAAATATCGAATAGTCAAAAATTGATAAATTGAATAATTAAGACTAAAACAAAACAATAGATAAATCGAAAAATTGACGAATCGAAAAATAAAAAATTTTAAAAATTGAAAAACCGAGAAGTCGAAAAATAGAAAGATCGAGAAATCGGAAGTCAAAAAACTGAAAAATCTAAAATATTGGAAAAAATGAAAAACAGAGATATTGAAGACCAGAAAAAACTAAAATTTTAGAAATTGAATTTTTAAAATTTCGAAAAATTAAAGAATCGAAAAATTGAAAAATCTAAAAATTAAAATATCTAACAATTGAAACATCTAAAATTTAAAGAAGTAAAAAATTGAGAAATGGAAAAATTGAGGAATAAAAATGTTTACAAATTCCAAAACTGAAAAGTCGAGAAATCGAAATAAAAAAATCGAAGTTGAAATATCGACAAAATAAAAAATCAAAAAACCTGAAAAATCGGAAAATTGAAGAATTGGAAAACTAAAAAAACCGAGAAGTTGATAAAGCGAAAAGTCGGAAGACCAAAAAATCAATTAATCGAGAAATCGAAAATTTAGAAACAGAAACGTAAAAAATTGAAAAAGTGAAAAATCAAAAATTTTAAAAATTGAAAAACCGAGAAGTCAAAAAGAGATCGAGAAATTAAATTGAAACGTCAAAAAACTGAAAAATCGAAAAAACAAAAATTTTAACAAGTGAAAAATTAAAATTTCCAAAATTTAAAGAATCGAAAAATTGAAAAATCTAAAAATTAAAACATTTAAAAATTGAACATCTAAAATTTTAAAACGTACAATTAAAAAATTGGGGTATCAAAATGAAAAAAATCCCAAAACTGAAATGTCGAAAAATCGAAGTCCAAAAATTGAAGTTGAAAAATCGAAAAAACCAAAAGTCAAAAACCTGAAAAATTGAAAAATTGAAAAACTGAGAAGTCAAGAAATCGAAAAATTAGAATACCAAAAAATCGATTAATCGAAAAATCGAAATTTAGAAACAGAAACGTAAAAAATTGAAAAACGGAAAAATCAAAAATTTTAAAAATCGAAAAATTGCAAAACCGAGAAGTCTCGAAATGTCCGAGTACCAAAAAATCGATTAATCGAGAATCGAAATAGCCCAAAAGAAGCGGATCTTTAATTTTTTAATTAAACGCGAAAAATTGAAAATCTAAAAATGAGAAAAGTAAAAAATCGGAAAATAATCGAGGAATCAAAATGTTTAAAAACCCTAAAACTGAAATATTGAAAAATCGTGAAATCGAAGTCGAAAATTGGAAGCTAAAAAATCGAGGAAATGAAAAACTGAAAAATCGAGAAGTCGAGAAATCGAAAAGTCGGAATACCAAACAATCGATTAATAAAGTAATCGAAAAATCGCAAATTTAGAAATAGAAACGTCAAAAATTGAAAGCCTGAAAAATTATTACATATAAAATTCCGATTTTTTTCCATAAAGGAAATCCGGACGGACGGACGCACAGACGGAAGGGAGATTTATTTTTTCGTAGTCTAGAGATGATGAAACGTCGAGAGAACATAAAAGTAGCTAGTCGCCCGATGGACTCGCGTACAATACTTCCTTAGCTTACGCTCGGAAAGTAATAAGGGTAAAAACATGAAACAAAGTTCAGTTTTGTGAAAATATTTTTGATTTTGGACTTCTAACTAGAACTATAACCTTATATTTTATAATTACGTGAATTTAATTCAAACAGCATTAAGAAAGTGCTCTAGAAATCATTAGAAACCAATGAAAATATGATCTTTTTTTTTATCAGTGTCATTACACGTTTTTTTTTTAATTAAAGGTCCATTTACTTTTTTAAATGACAAATTTCGATTTAAAGTATCACAAAATTTAAAAATGACCTTGGGTGCTAAGATAAGTACACTATGGACTTGGCTATTGGAAATCGTTGTTTAAAAAGAAGAGGTCGAAAAACTTTTTAAAGCGCCATCTGTTGAGAAATGCAGCAACTAAATCTTTAAAATTAAAAAATACACAACAATTTTTTTAAATGAAATAGGCTTTATAATATCATAACTTTCTAAATAGTATTGTAAGCCTGTTATGTGGACTGTCGATTGAAAATTTTTATATTTTGACCAGTTTTAGAGAGATTTTGTTTTGAGTAAGATTTCACAAATTTTAATCGTTTCAACGATTGTTTTTATGTTAAACAAATACATCTATTAATCTTTCTGAGAAAACGAAACTCTAATCTCGTCTATGTTTACACTAAAAAAGCGCCATTTTGTTAATCTCCGACTCGCCATTTTATGTATAAATTCGACAAAAGTAAAACACGGCCTCTAAAGGCAGTTTTCGTGGTCTTTGAAATGTATAAACCAATGTGAACTAGAAAAATCCAGTGAAGGCGAACTTGCATTAATACCATAGCTTAAGATAACGCCAATCAGCTGACCTTTCCTATTTAAAATCTAAATAAAAACTATAATTTCCACAAACTTCAAACTAATTTTGTTTTTAATAGAAACTTCCTGCTTACTTTAAACTAGTCTTTGATGTATTCACAGCTGCCGCGCCCTCTTGTATCTGCTGGTCCAACAAATTCACCTTAAGCTCCCTCACTTCATCCGTGTCCACAGCCCCAAATAACCTCGACATCAACCCCGTCTTCCCCTGCTGAGCCTTATTCCTCTCTACATTCTTACTAGCTACGTTATCTTCAGCCCCTTCTAGCTGCAACTGGTGATACTCATAATTCTTACAAACATTCTGCAACGAATTCGCAAAAAATAAATATTCTTTCAATTGATCCGCCAGCAGCTCCTCGTCCTCCAACCCCGCATCAATACTAGAAGCTAAAGAATCCAAATAGTGACCAGTTTTCTGCAACGCGTCCCCCATATCCTTCTCCACGGCGCTCCACTCGCTGAAAACCCGGCCATAGTTCGCGTGGAGTTTATGCACGTTGTATTGTTTCTCAGCCACGCGCGATCTAGCTTTAAGTAGGTTGTTTAAGTTAGTTTGGAAAATGTGACTGTAGTCTTTGATCGCGTCAAATCTGGGGTCCGAGTTGCGAAGTCTCATTGATAAGTTTAAGGCTTTGAGTTTGTTTTCTACTAGTTGTAAGTACCCTGTAACGATGAGTGGTATTATTTGTGGTGAAGTCAATAACGTGTTACCGTTGCTTTTGTAAGACTCCCTCCAGTCGTCTTCTTGCTGCAAGAATTCTACGAAGTGTTTATCCCAGCTTAGTACAGGGTGCGACGCTAGTCGTAACAGGAAATTTTCTAAGCCCGCGCGTCGCCTGTCGACGAAGTTTGGGTCAAAAGTATCACTTGAAATTTTCTGCCATCCGAACATCACACGTTTTTCCGGCAAAGGAGGCAAGACAATGTACGGATAAGTGACTTCCAGGTAGCCCCTGAGTTGCTCGAATTCCGTATACCGTCTCCACACCGTCGTCACCTTGGGAAACCGATTCTGGAACTCCGAGTCGGTTAATCTGGAAGACGTTTTTGTGAAAACAGTGAATTAAAAGTGTCACACTTACTTGGTTTCAATTAAGTAAACTGTGTAAAATTCTCGTAGGTTTAATGTTCCGTTCGCCCGTTTTTCCGACTCGGCTACGGAAATTTCTATGTGATTAAGTATTGTGTCCTGTAAAAAAAACATTAGAGGTTACGTCGACGATCGATACGGTTTACCTCTTTCTGTTGTTTGTTTTTGTCAATGTTCTTTTTTGCTTTTGTACTTTTATTCTCCATGGTCTTTATTTAAAATGTAAGTAAAATTTAAAAATAAACCCGATCAAAGAAAAATTTTTGACAACTATCACTTCTACTGTCACGAATGACAGGTTGGATCAGATGTCAAAATTACGAAATTATATTGTTCACACAAGAAGTGGTGAGTTTTAAATCGTTTGTGAGTTTCGTGGGTTTATTACGTGTTATCGCGTTAAATAAATGATAAAAATTGTTATTGTTTTTTGTTACAGGAATCTGTAAAAACGTGACCCTTACGTCACCGCCAATGTCACCGCTGTCATTTCATACTGTCAAAAGTAGTGTCAAGTCTTAACCCTTATAGCTGCATGTAGCAGGAATTTTTTAGTAAAATAGCTTTAAATTAAATAAAACGCAATACTTTTGTACTTAATAATCTAATTAAGTGATTTTCGTATGATATTAGTGTGTTTTGGGAATGGACACATTTTTAGCTAAAGCTTTTTGCCAAGAGGTGGGTAAGTCTTGTAATTTAATGTAACATAAAATTTTAACACTCGTGTTTGTTCATATTATTGTGTCTTCAGTCTTTATGGTTGAATGTTATCAGTAGTGTTTATCTCTAGATTTCAAAGACAGTCCAACGACGCCGGTGGGTGATTTAATAAGTCATTTACATAAAAGGCGAAGACATAATTATTACTTATTATCGTAGTTTGAGTTTAAAAATAAAGTCCTATTTAAAATTGTTCATGTTTGTATTGGGGACGATGATATAGTACAGAAGATATCAGTAAGTAATGAACTTATCAAAAATGTGACTTGTTATTTTTAAAGTGGTTGAGACTTAACACGTCAACGTCATTGTTACAACATTAAAATATGATACAAGAGCTTATCTCAACGTGCTCTCTATTTCATAACTTATTTATTGTTTATATCACAAGACCAAATTTTGTTTGGTTCGGGTTCAAGGTAAGGCCTCAGACACTCAAGATTTTTATTGATAATGTTGATAGAAAAATTTCCTTTGTTGTTTTTTTTTTATGTAGAAGTAGAAAATGAAGTTTCTAATTTTTATTCTATTTTATTGTTAACATGTTAAGTACACCTCAATATAACAAGAAACAAAAATATTTTGTGTGTATGCTATTTTGGAACACCTGTAGATAAATCAAAGAGATAATGCAATTTTATTAATCTTCAAATTATGGACTAGATTTTTATATCAGTTGTCTCTCAGCTTAAAGGAAGACTATCTGTTGTAATTTCCGCATATAAGTTTCTTCATAAGACCTAAATTAATACCGAGAATTAGCGCAATACATGGTTTATCAGTCACATTTTATTGTGAATACAATGATACACATATTGCAATTGACCAAAATACTATTTATAGGTAGCTTTATTGCATTGTGATAACTAGTGTAAAAATGGACGGTATACAGTTTGGTAGCTTTTTTTCAATTCCAAAGAAGCATTTATATTCAGTTAACTTAGAAGCGACTGAACAGAATATTTTGAAAGAAACGGACATTATCAAAGTGAGTTTTTAAAAGTTTAATTTTTTGTTTCCTAGTGAAATAGTGGCAGTATTTTTAAATAAAAATTCCAATATGTCACTTTTAAGGTATAATATTGCTTTTTATTATTATCCGTTCACGATCTTTATATAGTAAGGTTGGAAAACTCCCGCATTTCACATTTTTTACTAGAAAAAGTGGGACTGGAAACTAATAATAGAATCTAGAATAGTCTAATAAAAAAAGTAAAAAAAAAAAACGCTAATCGTATTTTTTTGTTATACTATTTGCTATAAAATTTATTTGTTATTTCATGCATCTGACCTGACTTTACCTACCGTGACCTCACCTCTTCTAGTTAGAAAAATAGTCGAAAATGTCAAAAGTGTCAAAATCAGTTTTATCTTATCAAATATTAGGCCCGCCCACCCACCCTCTGTTTTTTTGGAAGGTATTTGATTTGCCAAAATCAGCCTTATCTTAGTAAGTATTAGGCTCCCCCCTCTTCTATTTCTAAGGACTAATTTTATTTGTGTTAAGTATAAGGTCATTTATTTGATTCAGATCGGATAAAATCGATCACTGAAAAAGAGGCAGGGTGGGTGGGCGGGGCTAGTTATGTTGTTCTGTCGAGTGGGACTGGAAACTAATAATAGAATCTAGTCTAATGAAAAAATTAAAAAAAAAAAAACGCTAATCGTATTTTTTTGTTATACTATTTGCCATAAAATTTATTTGTTATTTCATGCATCTGACCTGACTTTACCTACCGTGACCTCACCTCTTCTAGTTAGAAAAATGGTCGAAAATGTCAAAAGTGTCAAAATTAGTTTTATCTTATCAAATATTAGGCCCGCCCACCCACCCTCGGTTTTTTTGGAAGGTATTTCATTTGCCAAAATCAGCCTTATCTTGGTAAGTATTAGGCTACCCCCCTCTTTTATTTCTAAGGACTAATTTTATTTGTGTTACGTATAAGGTCATTTATTTGATTCAGATCGGATAAAATCGATCACTGAAAAAGAGGCAGGGTGGGTGGGCGGGGCTAGTTATGTTCTTCTGTCGAGTGGGACTGGAAACTAATAATAGTTAGAATTCTAGTTCTGATAAAAAAAGTAAAAAAACGCTAACCGTATTTTTTTTTGTTATACTATTTGCTATAAAATTTATTTCTTATTTCATGCATGTGACCTGACTCGACCTACCGTGACCTTCCCTCTTCTAGTTAGAAAAATAGTCGAAAATGTCAAAACTGTCAAAATCAGTTTTATCTTATCAAATATTAGCCCCGCCCACCCACCCTCTGTTTTTTTTGGAAGGTATTTGATTTGCCAAAATCAGCCTTATCTTAGTAAGTACTAGCCTCCCCCCTCTTCAATTTATAAGGACAAATTTTACTTCTGTTAAGTATAAGGTCATTTATTTGATTCAGATCGAATAAAATCGATCACTGAAAAAGAGGCAGGGTGGGTGGGCGGGGCTAGTTATGTTCTTCTGTCGAGTGGGACTGCAAACTAATAATAGTTAGAATTCTAGTTCTAGTTCTGATAAAAAAAGTAAAAAAAAACGCTAACCGTATTTTTTTTTGTTATACTATTTGCTATAAAATTTATTTGTTATTTCATGCATCTGACCTGACTTTAACTACCGTGACCTCACCTCTTCTAGTTAGAAAAATAGTCGAAAATGTCAAAACTGTCAAAATCAGTTTTATCTTATCAAATATTAGCCCCGCCCACCCACCCTCTGTTTTTTTGGAAGGTATTTGATTTGCCAAAATCATTTTTGATTCAACTTTGCCAAAACAGGAATGAGCTGATTAACCACCCAATTTTGAAAAATTGTCCCGTCCATCGTTTTATGATAGTCTCTATCGTTATTTTTTTGATTTTTCTAATTTTTATTTTACTCAAGGTCAAATTTCTCAATTTTTGATTTTTCAGTTTTTCAATTTTCGAACTATTTGATTTTTTAATATTTCGTTTTTGCAATTTTGAATTTTCCAGTTTCTCGATTCTTCAATTTGTCTAGTTTTCATTTTAAATATGAATGATGATAATAATTTGTAAAATTTTTCGCTTTTTCAACTTTAATTTTGTACAATTTTTTCATTTGTCTATTATTGGTTTTAAAAACTTTTTGTTCGATTTTTCAATGTTCCGATATTTTATTTTTCAGTTTTTCGATTTTTAAATGTTACAGTTTTTCAACTTTACAGTTTTGACGATTCTATAATTTTTTGAGGAGGCTATAATTTTTCGATTTTACAATTTTAAGTTTTCCAATTTTTCAATCCATTAATTTTTTTCGATTTTTAAGTTTCCCAATTTTTCAAATTTTTCTGATTTTTTTTTGTTTTTCGATTTTTCAACTTTTCGAATCAAAAAAATTGTAAAATTAAAATATCAAAAATGAAAACCTTGAAAAATCTAAAAGGTGGAAATCAAGAACTTATATCAAAAATGAAAACCTTGAAAAATCTAAAAGGTGGAAATCAAGAACTTGAAAAATTGAATAAAAGAAAAACTGAAAAATCGAAATATTAAAAATTAAGAAACTTCAAAATCGAAAAAGTGCAAAATCCGAAAAGTGCAAAACCTAAAAATTGAACTACGAAAAGTCGAAAAATTGGAATATCGAGCAATAGTAACATTAGCAGTAAATTGAAAAATCCAGAAATTGAAAATTTTCCGAAATTGAAATGTTAAAACATTGAGAACTCAACAACTTAAATAATCAAGAAAGAGAAAATTCGAAAGTCGAAAATATTGAAAATCGAAAAACAGAGAAGTCGGGAAATTAAAAAAAATGTAGTAAAAAATGTTTCAATCGGGAAATCGAAACATCAAAAAATGTTAAAATCGAACAATTGTAAAAAATCGAAAAAACAAAAAATCAAAAAACTGACCTCGAGAAAGCGCAAAATTGAAATATCTAAAAACTCAAAAATCGAAAAATCGAAAAATCAAAAAATTGAAACATTTCAGAACTAAAATGTCGAAAAATTAAAAAATCCAAACATCGAAAAATTTGGATAAACGAAAAAACGAAAAGCGGAAAAGTCGAAAATCGAACAATTGAAAAATTCGCCCAAATTCGGTAAATCGAAACATCCAAAAAATGACAAATCATGAAATTGAAGTGAAGAATCGAAAAACATCCAAATCTCGAGAAATCGAATAGTTGTAAAATTGAAATATCAAAAATGAAAATAGGAAAATGCATAAAATGGAAACTATGAAAAATCTAAAAATGGAAATCAAGAACTTGAAAAATTGAAGAAATGAAAAATTGAAAAATCGAAATATTAAAAACTGAGAAACTTCAAAATCGAAAAAGTGCAAAATACGAAAAGTGCTAAATCGAAAAATAATAATAATAATAATATCGTTTATGTATAACGAAATATTGTAACATCAAAATATTGAATATTAAAGAAATGGAGAAATTCAAAATGTGCAAAATTTAAAAATAGGAAAATCGAGGAAAAAATCGAGGAAAAGATTGAATTTTCAATCTCTTATTTTTCATTTCCTCGATTTTCAAATTTTTATAGTGAAGAACTGAATAAACGAAAAATTATAAAATCGAACGAAACGTTGAAAAAACAAAGACTATGAAAAATCGAAAAATTGTGTTATAAAATCGAGAAAATTAAAATAAATAAATCGCGAAAATAAAATCGAAAAATCAAGAACTTGAAAAATCGAGGAAATGAAAAATTGAGTAATAAAAAAATAAAAAAATAAAAAACTGAAAAACCGAAAAATAAAAA